CATCTACACATATTACATTTTCTTCTTTTTCTAATAATTTGATATAACTTATGAAATATTGTAAATGTATTGTAAATTTATATTTGTGTGATTGTAATGTATTAATAATTATTAGCATTAAGTCTTAAATATTTGTAACAGATATATAGACGCTAATAATGTAAATAAACTAAACATGGTAACGGCACTGTCAGACCAATCACTGCTCTAAGGTCCAAGACGTCAAACCCTCGCCATGTCGATAAATTAGACGTAGGAATCGAATGTCGCATTTAATTAATTCTAACGCTTGCAAAAACGTGAGTATGCGTTAACGAAAGCCAGCTCAGGCACTAGGATGTCTGCGACCAAAGTGTGTCGTTTCGTGCAGCTGGCATGAATTTCGTCGAATTTAATTTTCTGTTAAATTATAATGGTTAAGACCTCGCACTTGTCATGTGCGAAATGCAACTATTAGATTTGACATGGCAAAAGTTCGACGTCTGAACCCGTCCTAAATGTTCTGTATTTCTGACATAACTTGCACTGATTTTTAAAATAATTTATTTGCAGTGTGAATCAAGTTCTTGTGTTGTCGGCACGGCACAACATTGTGTCTCTCTTGGTGACCAGAGCAACACCCTCTGTCTGAACTTCACCGGTCGCAGTAAGTATATACAGTTGCCTATACTAGGCTAAGCCTGCGTAGATGCGCTATGGGGGCCTTGGGGAGGAGGGAAGGGAGGAGTAAGTCTCCCAAATCTCCCAAAGCGCCGCTACGCAGGCTACCTGTAGCTATGCATGTGGTTTGGTTTTGATCTTTCGTTAAGGGCGTGTGGTATTTGCATCACCTTTCCTTCTCTTTGTTGTTTTACAATCTCACTTTTGTCTTTCAGTCATCAAAGCCAACACAGCTCCTGTGTGTATTGGAGCTAGAAACGACAGCTACGGGACATTCTTTGCTCCTGCTTATGGGAAAATCAAGACATTCAAGCTCGTTCACATCTCAGGAGGAATTGCTGCTTATGGAAGTTCTTTAGGAGGAGCTCCAGGAAATTGGGGAACGTTGGCTCCTGCAGAGCCCCATCCACACCTTGAACTGCACGTCACCGATACCCAGAACTCAAGTATCACCCCTCCACCTGGGTACCCTCTCGATATGTCATATGGTTTCATGCGCTACGGTGTACCAGGCTTCACGGTCATGAGTCCAGAACTCGTGTTCCCTGACATTTCTCCACCTCTTGCTGTGACCAAAGGAAAAGAGTTCAGGATTTGGGAAGGACAGGATCTCGCTAACGCTCATGAATTCGATAACATTGGACCAACCTGTGCTGATGTGTACGTTTTCTTCACCGGTTGAAGACCCGCCCTAGTTCTTGACAGTCATTTTCACATTTTTTTATTACTGCAGCGGGATGAAAAAACCAGTGGGAAATTCTCAATCAAGGAAGGTTATTGCCGAACGCAATCGAATCCAATCATGTGATTGCGTTCGATTGAATTCGACTTCCAAATCATTTGATCGATTACGCGGAGTTTATTAATTGCACCACAATTTTGTTTCAAACATTATAAAGAATGAAGCTTCTGGTTATTGAGAGATGGACTAGTAATTTTCACCTACTTATACTTTTTAACGATTTGTTATTTGCACCATCATTTAGCTGGTGCCAATGAGTGACACAATGGGTTGAACGACATCAATTAAAACTGCAGGGGAGGCTAACAAAGTTTTATATCTGACAAAGTAGTTGCACACAATGTACAAATTTGTAAAAATTACAGCATGATTTAGGGACCGATCAGTATTTATATCAGCTGGGGTAGTTTAGGGGGAGAACATAAACAACTGATAGGGGTGGAGATGAGTTAGAGAATTTCAAGACATTGGTATTGTACAAGTTGTACGTTTTTTTGTATTGCGCTTAACTTTCGCAAATAATTTGCTCTTAGACGAGGCAAAACCTGTAGAGTGAATAAGCCCGTTAATAAGGAACACAGCGGTATTCAGTTACCGAATGAGTAAAAAGAGTCTATCACCCCATTCACACCAAGGCTTAAATATGTTTTAAAGTGGTTTAACTACACAGGTTTGGAAAACTATCTACGAACACTGCACAATCTTTGGTAAAATGATGCATGTAAGCTATCCTTTGTCTTGCTCTGATAATATTTTACAAAGTTTTATTATATTGTAGGTTTCTAGTTTCTAAATTTTTTTCCTAATGAAAACATAGTTTAACTAAACACGTTTAGGTGTGAATGGGGTATATTGTTTGCATCACGTCGATAAAGAAAGGTATAAAGCCCTGTTTACACTGGCGATTTTTGCTGCGATTTTTGTGGCAATTTTCGGAAATGTAAAATCTTTTGTCTCATCCTTCGAAAGAGACATTCGTCTAGGAAAATCTTGGTATCCTGAAAAAAAACTTTACAAGTAAATTATTTACCATTATTTATTATGAACAGAATCGCCGAAACAATCGCAGCAATAATCGCCGAAAAACTCGCGTGTGTAAACGTGTAAACTCACTAGTGTAAACTCACTAGTGTAAACGTGGCTTAAAACCTTGCCTTGATGAGTTGTTGCCCCTTTCTCCATAGATATATATGGGCAATAAAGCCAGGTGAAAACAAAACAAGAAAGAATTACCCAACAAGTAAAATATCTCGGTCGTGGTACATTTATGTTTTTCAATTTCATATTGACACAGTCGCTCCCCCGGCCAAATATAATGATGATTGTTTATATATATATATATGCAATCGTTATGAGTGTCGGCCAAAACCTTATACCCCGGCACATGTTCGGCTTTACTTCGGTAAAGGTAGGTCAATCTTAGTCGTGGTTGCTTGGTCACGTGTCTTCTGAATATAGGACACGAGGTACAAAAATTTCGAGAAGGAAAAGAGATTCTCCGACTTGCTCTTTTACATTATGCAGAATATTAAAGTCCATATTGGAACCAATTTAAGCACGCCAAATTTTTTAATCATTTTTTGAAAGAAAAAAAAAAGATTTTTTAAGACACGCTTTTGGGGAGCAGTCATTATTTAAGAGTCGGAGGGGGTGGGGGGTGGAAGAAAAAATGGGGACCCTCAAATTTGTTTAGTGGAACATAGGGGGCCTTGAAAGGTCAAAAGGATGATTGGGAGGATTGTTTAAACGATTGAAGAGGGGTACCCGAAAAACATGAATGCCATTGTCGGGGTCTGGAAAATGCTTTGCATCAAAAACATTTTCTTCTCCACCCCTCCCCCCTCCGACTTAAATAATGACTGCTCCCTTAGACACGTGAGCAGCCCCAAGTAGGTTCTTTCTCATTCTCGTTCCCAGACCCTACTCATTCGCAAAAATCGTAGGCTCTGGGAAACCCCACTGACTGGAAGCAAGAATCTTGCGACCAGGTCGTCAGAGCGCATGCTCTATCTCAGGATCGCTGACTTTAAAATGCTCGACCTTTCTAACGGTTTGTTTGCGTCTTCTGTTATTGCAAAAGTTTATATGTTCGACAAATGGAAATAGGAATTGATTCGAGATTCGAAGAAACATGACCGTTCCTGTCGATTTGTCTTGCTTGGTTTCCGTTGGTATTTTTGTTTATCCTGTTGTCCAATCAGAGTTCGTTCAGTGTTATGTAATTTTCAACAGCCATTGGAATTCCATAGAATTTTAGGGTTTTTCCCTGGCTTGTTTTTTCCCGATTTTCGCTATGAGGAGGCTCTGGGTACGAGAATGGTTCTTTCTCTTAAGGTTGCCGGTCCTAGTCTTTTTCTCTTAGCTTCTGTCTTTGCAGGAAAGACCTGGAACCGACACTTCTTATGGCGGTTACCAACTGAGGAAACTACGTACACTATGACTTTGTGTTAAAAATGACTGTACATTTAAAATAAAAATGACCCTGGCTCGTATATACCTATTTCAGAAAAGGTTATCGGAGGCAAACGAAATAGGCCATCTGTAAACTACTGAGATTAAAATTAGAAAAAAAAAATCTATCAATAGTCCCTTTCACAGTTCCCTGAGCCATTTTTTAACACCTTGGACAATTATTCACATGTCTTTATCATTGCAAGCTCACCGTTCATCTCGCTTCGATGCAAAGGCAATGCTACCTTTCAAGATGGCGCAGGGAACTGTGAAAGGGACTATTCAATAAATTAAACTGATAGGTTATAGTTATTATCTTCGTTAAGAGCACGGAGGTTAGTGTTGTGATACAAGGTATTATCATTCAATTTTTTCCCTGTCTTTTTTGGCCGACATAACTGCAAATAACTGCCTACAAATGATAATCTGCTCATGCGCATTAAGGTGCAAAGCCGTTTTGCTGCAAAGAACAGTCTGCACCTGCGCAGTAACGTAGCCGCATTTGTCAACATGGTGCGCTTTCCTGAGCTGTCAGAAGATGACTTGTCATGTTTGTTAGACAGCAACAACAACCAAAAAACACACACAGAGGAAAAAATTCATCTGAATGATAAAACAATAATTGAACTCGGTTATCACATAATATCGTGATTTGTTAGTATGTCCGCCTTTGGCATCGGCAAATAATTGCTTTGCTCGCCACTAAGATATCACAATTTTTGAACCTCGTTCCGTTCAATAACTACTTATTGTTTTCCACAATTCCTTCGGGTTTCGGTTTCCGTCTTGGAATGACCTATCTCCCTTGGATCTGACGTTTTTTGAAATACGGGTATACTTATTGGTAAGTTGACAAACCCAGTCAGTTATTTACAGATGAATGAGATGAACGGATCAGGGAGGGAGAAACGGATAAAAAAGAGTGAGAAACAACGAAAAAACGAACCCCCCCTCCAATCGATAGAAGGGAGTGGCAGGAAAGAGGTAAAAAGAGGGTGAAAGGGCCAAAAAAAATAGGGAGGGAAGAGAACGATGACATAAAGTATAGGAAGGGAGAATATTTACAGTGCAACTACTATAACCGGGGCCACTTAGACAGCAAGAACCAATAAAAACAATACATCCCGACTTTGGGTAGTGGAGCCAATCAGAAATCAGCAGAAAACAATAGCCTTTCAACATGTCTTTTTATTTCCAAGAGAAAATGACGATTGCCATCAAGTAACATCAGGGTCAAATTACAATTCTTGTGCAGTCTAGGTTTCTGATTGGCTCCACTACCTAAAGTTGGAATGTATCGTTTTCATTCTGCGTTTTAATTGGTTTTACTATCTGGCAATACTATCTAGCGAAACCCTGAACTATTCGAGATATTTGGAGCAGCACTGGTCCGGTTTCAGGATCGCTAATGTACATACCACTATTAGTGGGACTTTCAAGCATGTCTTCAAAGGCTAGAGGCGAAACGAATAAATGAATTAGACGGTAGCGGAAAAGAGCGAATAGAGCGTTTTTACGTGACGTCACAGCGGCCATATGGGGTACCAAAACAATACATTTATATTACACTCTATTTTTATGCAAATACTGTGCAGAAAGTTTCTATTGTTTATGGCTGCCTTCTCACGTGAGTGAAAACGCTCTATAGACCTCTACTCTTTTAATACTTCTTTTTACAGTTCCGATGAGTGACCACGACTAATATTCCCATGTTGAGTTTGCCTTTCCTCAGTCTTAGCCTCTATTGTGTACAAATATGTGTTCTTTTCTCTTATTAAGGTCCATTGTATAGTAAGGAATATACGCACGGCGGAACAATATGAGTTGATTAAAATGCAATGAGTTTTGGTTGAATAGCTGAATATTATAAACACAACCGAGACTAAGGCTGAGCAAAAGAGAACTCGAAACTGGAGTATTGTTCCATGCTGAGGTTGGAGTTGCCGCGTATAGCTAAACTATAGTTGATCATTCGCGGCAACTCCAACCTAGACTTGGAAATATTGTACTTGGTCACTGAACGGAACTGTAAAAAGGTGTGTTCACCGATCCCGAATCCATACCGCCCTAGTTACAGTTGCTACGTCGGACAAGCTAAAATGTGTTTTTGATATACAGCATGGAACAAACACTGATTGCTGAAAATTGTAAATGTTTGCCTTAGAATCAATGCATCCTAATTGAGAAATAAAGTGCTGACAACTAAAAAAACCTTCTGAATTTGAGTTTGCTTGTCTGATATACTGTATTCCATTGGGAAAACTACCTATTCTTCGGTAGTCACTCAAGCATAGTTGGGGTCGATGTATTAGCTAGGGCGTAATGTTTTCCCATTTCACATCAAGTGTCATTCCCTAGAGTATTATATTTTTTGTTTCAAGGTTGTGCAAGAGAAGACACATGAATATGGATAAATTACTCAAATGTTATTCTCAAGAATGACACATGGTCTGAAATGGGAAACCTTTACGCCGCCCAAGCTAAAGAGGTCTTATTGATGGTTTTCAACCATTCCCTAGAGAATAAAATAACAAAAGACACGGCGGTCATGTTGGAGGATATAACAAAAGAATTCATTGACAATTCTTTTGTTAAGTTCCTCCAACATGGCCGACGTGAAAACCATTAATAGCTTTGTCTCGACATCACATGTGAGCAAAGTTTGATAGTGGTTCTGTCTTTCGATTTGAGGGTTTGTACATAGTTAATGGAGCGGAATCCATTCCACTCCATTAACTATGGTTTGTATCATTCAATTGATCTCTGGGTTTAGTTATTAGCCACCATGCTTTGATATGAATATCATGCGAAAATCGAATTCAATAAATATTCACCAATTACCTGCAAGAATTCGGGGATTATACAAGCCAAGCTGAACCATCGGGTTTTCCATAATAGCCTTGTACATGGGACTAAAGAGTATCAAATACAGTTTAAGAGGAAAAGTTTTTCAATAATGAGTAATAATGGCAAAAAGCGCCAGAATTAGACTTTCGTATGAGTTTTGATACCAATTTTCGTTTTGGGTTAACTGCACTCAAAACCTTCTTTAAACAGTTAGAAACTGATGTACTATGATAAAATGCCTGTTTGAAGCGATATTTTCAATTGTACAAAGATGTTTTGTTGCATTTGTATTAGAATGTTGCTTTGTCCGGCTTCTTTATAGAAAATATATGGGAAATAAGCAAATGAAGGCCTAAACCTCATTTTCGAATAAAAGTTTTGTTTTGGGTTAACATTTTGATTCCACTTTCATCGGTCATCTCCACTTCCAAACAAGTCAAACTTTCTGAATAACAAGATTTTAGCCTTGTACAACAGCCTTTCTTCAAGAAAATAGTTTTTGGCGCTCACTGCTTGAATACGAAAAGAATTCTCTCTTAAAATGAATTCTCTCTTAAAATGAACTTTTATAATTTAATTCCAAAATTCACAGGACAGAAGAATATAAACCATAGATAGAAAGACCATGTTCAAATTAGTAAAACTGTAAATTTCGGAGGAAGTAAGTTTAAAAATCGCGAAGATATGAATTTTTAAAAATCGAAATTTTGTATAAAAACATTCGTAGGCATCTTTTGCCCCTACCAAAGGTTTTCTTACAAAATTCACACTTTTCAAAAATCATTTTTTTCGCGAGTTTTCAACTTATTTCCTTCAAACTTTATAGTTTAACCGATTCGAACAGGCTCTCTCCAGCCACGGTAATTATTTTCTGTTTTTTTWAAATATATATTTTAAAATTCATTAACTTCAGCCTTATTATCGGTTAAAAATTGAATAATAAATAGAGCAAATTTCGGTGCAAGTGCACTAGTAAATAAACTCACCTATCTTGGTCCAGGCCCTCATCAATATTTACAACACCACATTTTTTATCCCCTAACAGCCAGTCACACTAAAGAAACGAAAAAGTGAATTAAAAAAAAAAAGGTCAAAACATTGAGAAAGTAAAGCATGTAAAAGCTGGGTTGGGAGAGCGGGGGATCGAAGGATTTTTTTTGCGACATCATACTTAAAACTCCGTCCACAAGTGCCCGGATATTTTTGAAAACGGATTTCTTTTTTTTTTTTTTTTTGCGGATTGGCCTCCCTTCCACGCGAATCTAGTGAAAACGCCCTTTACAAAACTCAACGTTTCGAAAACGGATACGTTTAGACAAAATAAAATTGATTCTCCCAAGAGGCACTTAACAAATTGACATCAGTTTTTTATGTGTCTGTCCTCTTATTGACGATAAGTTGCGTCTTCACATTGTCAAAGTAGTGCAGTGGATCCACGAGGCGAAGCCGAGGTAACCGGTCAAACGAAGGTCAAATAAAGGTTGAAAAAGCGATTATTTAATTCAGTGGATACATTCTATTTGTTTGGGAACCCCGCTTTCAGTGTTGACATAATTATCGATTTGACTTACTGCTGCTTCTTGGTTGTTGCCAGTTACTTTCAGCGCTACTAGAATGTCTTCTTCTTGAAAACCCATTTCTTTAAGATTTTCTACGGCCTGCAATTTATTATGTTTAAAGAATAAATACCGATCTACAGTTTCACAGAAAACGTCCCTGCTAGCAGTGCCAAGTATCGCCAACGAGGGAGACTCTTGTAGCAGGGAAACAGAAAACATGGTATGTTGGTTATAGTTTCGTATTGATGGGTTGCAAGCATTCCCAAGAGAGTCAAAAGACAAAA